ATGCACCAAAATAACACAACTCACAATACATAACATTCTCAGACAGAAAGCGGCAATCCTGTTGATGATCACAAAATCTGTGCTGAAAACGAAGACTCTTACAAAAGACAGTGGTCCCCAGCCCAGAGTTGTGATGAGGAAGGAAGATGGGTGCTCTACTGAAGCCTGCAGCTTCAGGTGTGAAACGCTTGCAGCTGTTCACGGTTTCTAGGTAGCTATAAAATGACCCAGGCAGGCAACACTAAGCTGGTTCTGGACGTACAGCCATTTGTGCACCTTATCTACCTTCTATAACACAGAGACAGACACACTTACCTACCTTCTGTAACAGACAGACACACTTACCTACCTTCTGTAACAGATACACAGACACACTTACCTACCTTCTGTAACAGATACACAGACACACTTACCTACCTTCTAACACACAGACACACTTATCTACCTTCTGTAACACAGACACACTTACCTACCTTCTATAACACAGACACAGACACACTTACCTACCTTCTATAACAGACACATTTATCTAACTTATAACACACACTTATCTACCTTATATAATATAGACAGACACACTTATCTACCTTACATAACACACACACTTATCTACCTTATATAATAGACACATTTATCCACCTTATAACACATACTTATCTGCCGTATATAACACACACACTTATCTACCTTATATAATATAGACACACTTATCTACCTTATATGACACACACTTATCTACCTTTTATAATATAGACACATTTATCTACCTTATAAAAGACACACTTATCTACCTTATATAATATAGACAGACACAATTATCTACCTTTTTTAAAGTTTATTTATTTGAAAATATTATTTATTAAAGATTTTAAATATAAAAATTTATTAAAGATTATTTATTTATTTGAAAGTCAGAGTCACACATATAGGCGGGGGTGGGGGGGAGGAGAGAGGAGAGAGGTCTTCTATCCACTAGTTCACTCCCCAGATGGCCGCAACGGCCAAAGCTGCGCCATTCTGAAGCCAGGAGCCAGGAGTTTCTTCCAGGTCTCCCACATGGGTGCAGGGGCCCAAGGACTTGGACCATCTTCTACTGCTTTCCCAGGCCACAGCAGAGAGCTGGATAGGAAGTGGACCAGCTGGGATTCGAACCGGCGCTCACATGGGATGCCGGCACTGCAGGCGGCGGCTTTACCCACTACGCCACAGTACCGGCCCCACTTATCTACCTTCTATAACACAGAGACAGACATACTTATCTACCTACCTTATATAACATAGACACAGACATACTTATCTACCTTATATAATAGAGAGACACACTTGGGACTGTCCCTCTTATTTGAAGTGATCTTGGAAACTGTATTTCCTATATTTTAAAAGAAAAATAAGGGCAGATGGCATAACCACGCATGGAAGTAACAGAAGGACTGAAAGTGAACCTAGGGACCCATGTAGATACAAGTCACCACACGTCCTAATCATCTCTGTTCCCAAAGCTTCACAATGAACAGATTAAATATAAGAAAAATATAAAAGCAAGCTCAGTACGCTAGGACATGAAGGGCGACAGACACAAGCCAGCCCCACCTCCAGAATCACCAGCAGATGGTAAGTATGAAACGGAATGTATGAATCAGACGCCATGGAGATGCCAATGTGGATCTGACAAAAGTTAGGAAGCAGACTTTAGAAAATCCCCTCCAGGCCTCATAGCAAGATGTGAAGAATTTTAGGCTGTACCCTGAGAGGTAAGTCTATATGCCTGTTGCAGAACTATACTGCTTACAGTTTTAGATGACCTCCTCCATCTCTTATTCCCTAATTTTTGACTGGGATCTTTTTCCAATTGCCTTAAAATACATATAATTAACTCTGTGTTACATAGAGAGCTCAGCATATAGGGGTTCCAAATCCATAAGAATCAGTGGTATAAACACCATCTTCACTGTTACAATGATCATATTAAATGTTAAAGGCAACAGGTCTAAGTTTAAAAGGGACAATATAATTAACATCAAGTACCCGGTAAAAATAATAGAATTAAAAAGGAAGGAAGGCCCAACATGGGAAGCAGTCCATGCAGCAGACTCCTAGAATGACTTTCGCAGTAAGTAACACTCTGAACTCAGAATCAACCCATAAGGCTTCCTGGTTGGGCTGAAAGGCCTGCAAGAGCATCTCAGGCATGGAGTGCCAAGACCCTGTGACAAAAAACACCCTACATGGATGATCTCTGTGAGACCTCAGAGGAAAGGAAGGGTCATCAAAGGAGGAGACACTCGTCTCTGAAGGGAGAGAGCATCCTCTTTGCTTATGGTCGTGTCCAAATACCGACTGGAGTCTATGGTCACAAAGGCCTCCACAGCCCTGGCAGCTCACAAGAGCCTCGGGTGATCACGGACATCATAAAAAGGGTGTTAATTTTTCGCTCCCCCATTCACGGAGGAACGACACTAGACCCTGCGCTGTTCTTTTGTCTGCTCGGCCCTTCCCGGGTTTGCTGCTGGTCCTTCCCGGGTTGGCTGCCGGCCCCTCCACCTCCGTGGAGGGGCAGCACCCCCTGCCACTTTCCCAGCTTCCGCAGAGGAGTGGCACGCTGCCGGCCGGCTCTCTCGGGGGCTGCACAGGTGTTCCTTCAGATAGATGTTCCCCTTAGATGTTCCTGGTGCATGTTGTCTCTCTCCTCCTTTATAGTCCTCTTCCACCAATCCCAACTCTGCTACCCACACACCAAGCACGCTGTTCTCCTCCAATCAGGAGCAGGATCAGCTCCTGCAGCTCATCAAATTGGCGAGAGGCAGCTGTGTAGAGGTTGTTTGGTCTCTCTCAGCGCCATATTGTGGGAGAGCAGATGCATAGAATAAGTCTTAATTCCAGTAACTTGGTCTAGTCTCAGTTGCTCCCCACATTAATTGTTAAAGGAACAACAGTAGTCACTGTGTACTTGCTCCCCACGTAGGACCTCTGTCCCTACTGATTGTAATAAGAATCAACTGCAAATTCTCTCCCCAAACTGTACTCTATATGTTGTGTGTGGGCATGGGGGCAAATTGCTGAAATCTAAGATTAGCATAGAGTTGGTCCTCTGTATATAAAGTCATATTAAAAATGATCCATAATGATAGGGGATGGCAGAGGGAGGTGGGATGGGAGTGGGGTGGGGGCCATGGGGGAAAGAACCACTATATTCCTAAAGTTGTATCTGTGTAAAAATGCATTCATTAAATAAAAGAAATTTAAAAAATTAATTAAAAAAAGATGTTAAGAATTAACAAGCCAAAGGCCTTCACAGCTTCACAACTGAACCCATCTTGGCTATAAAGGGAGAAGTGTCCGTAAGAGCCACACCTGAAATGAAGTGTGTCAGCGGGACAGTGCTCTTCACATTCAGGAAGGGAGCTCTCAAAAACGCAGAACGCCAAACAGTACCAGAAGCCACGAGGTGGCCCTGACCCTGTGATTACGTGCAGACTGAGCAGTAAGAAACACAGCATCTGAGCCAGCGGAGCTCAGGAACCCAGCTCAGCCTCCAGTCACCTCTGGGAGGGTGACTCAGGCAAACACCCTCTCGTGGATCCCGGGGGCACCCCCACCAGGCCTGCCTTCCTACCAGCACCCTACAGCTCCCCAGCAGTCTTCTCCCAGCTGCACTCACTGTGGACCCGGGTCTGTAGCTCACTCACGGCCAAGTGGTTAACGCTGCTAACTATCACCTTGTTCACCACACCAGATCTGCAAGCCCGTGGGGGAGTGCCAGAGACAGCGCTTTAATTCAGACTTCACTCGGCCCAGTACAAACGGTCACATTCTGAAACCTTCCTCCTGCAGGAGGCGGCCCAAGGACATGTGTGGTCTAGAGAGCAGCCCTCCACTAGGAACAAGCGAGATGCAGGAACACGTCTCAGCTGGTTAAGTCAACGAACCCACAGGACATTAACAAGCAAACCAACCCTTCACTGATCACCTATGGAGGATATTGTTTCTACAGAAACGGAACCACAGGACAGCTCCACTGTTGATGAAGAATTTCACAACTCCCTAGGTAATACATGAGGAAGAATGACAGAACTGGAATCGCAGTGATGTGAGGCGCCTACTGAAGCAGTGGACCTGAGGGATGACCACGAATGGCCTTCAGCAGAGGGACAACCAAATGCTGGTGCTTCCTGTCCTATTCGTGCCAAAGGGGAAAAAACCCTGAATCTGATCGAGCAATTTTCCAAATACAGTTGTATAGGAGAGAAGGTAGAGGAACACATTAAATAAGACTGTAGGTTTGAGATCAGCGTATCTAGAATGTGGGAAACCCAAGAGCTGTTCTCTTCAACACATACATTAACTGCAAGCTACAAAGAGGTTTATATTTGGGAAATATGAACACTGATGGGCTGTTTAGTGATATCAAGGAATTAACTAATTTTTAGATATGACAATGACACTGTTATGCATTTAAAATTCCTTTTAGAGGCAAATACCCTGGTAATTGGGATTTGCTGAAAAGTAATCTGGTGAGGGTGAGGAATGAGGACACTGGCGGGAACTGGCCATTGCTGCAGCAGAGGGCAGTACCCGGGTCTAGACACTCCGCCCCTGGATGTTTCTACCAAACTATGTGCAAAGCAGCAAAACACGGCGGGCACTGTTAACCTCCGGTACCGGTCCCCCCTTATCTGGATCCTGTTCCAACCCAACCGCTGAAAAATGTTATGAATCAGGAACTTGTAAACACCAGCTGCATATTTCATATTTAAATGATTAAGAAGCAATCTTATATTTTAAAGGCATGTACCAACATATTAATGGGGAAATGATTTGGTGCCTGGGATTTGCCTCAAAATAAGCCACAAGATTGATGTGAGGGAACGGGAATGACAGGAGATAGATTGGCTGTCAGCAGATGACTGCTGAAGGTGGGTGATGGGCAAAGCGTGTTCTTTCACACTGTTCTCTCAATTAGGGTCTACGTTTTCCAATATGCAGCACTTTAAAACACAAACCTATGGTGCTGGGAGTCAGGACAGTGGTTACTTTTGGGTGTGAAAGGCCCGTCTTCGTGGCTCCGCGCATCTGGTGGCTGGGATGGCAGGGCAGGCCCCAGGCGAAGCCCGGAGCAGGAGCCGGGCTGCCACACACCCAGCGCTGTGGGCCGCGCCTTAGCCACAGGCCGAACGCGGTCCCAGCCCGGGCCCCAGGAAGGCTGGCTCCGCGTAGACTCAGGCACACAGTCTTTCTGTTACGCGCATCACACCGCGACACCACACACACTTAAAGGAGGGCGGCCGCGGAGCGGAAAGGTACACAGCACCGCGCAGCCCACGCACACCAGGGCCCGCGGCCCCGGCCGGAAGTACTGCGCACCCGGGAGACCGCGATGCGGACGCACCCAGGCCTCGGCAGCGATAACCCACCCTCACTCCAGCCCTCCCCGACAGGCCCCTGCGCAAAGCCCGGAGAACTCCCAAGAACCGCACGCAACTCCGAGGGCCACAACGCCCCAAGCCGCAACCTGGGCGGAGGCGACGACGCACGCCGGAAGAAGCCACGCCCGCTCGCCCAGCGGACCGCCCCCCGCCGTCGCGCTTCCCAATGGGGACCCGGCGAGCGAATGCCTCATATCGGCCCTCCTGGCTCCGCCAATCAGCGGGCCCGCTCCGAGCGCCTCACAGCCCTCCTGCTCCTGGCGCCCAATCACAGGGCTCCACATGAGGCGCGCGGCCCCGTGCGCGCGCGCACGCTCCCCGCGCCCCCACCGCCCCGGCGGCGAAGTCCGGCAGGCGTCACACTGCCATCTACTGTCGACTTCTGGGAACAGCGTCCGCGCAGCGCGCTGCCAGACACAGCAGGGTGCAGGGCCCATGGCCCAACCCAAATGCTCAAATGAAAATTAGCTCAAATGAAAATTAAAGGAAGCGGTGGGAACGTAAAAGCGAAAAGAATGTTTGAGAGAGACGCTGGTAACAGAATTACTGTCCGTTGAACAGTAGAAAAAAGTGATGTCTCAAAAGGTCTTTCCCAAGCAGTTTGACTTCCGAAACCCTTACGCGGGTGCAATCTTGAGTGGCCGCATGCATATCTGTGCCTCCTTAAACTCCAGCTCCTCTGCTCTCAGTTCAGCCGCCTGCTAATGCACACCCTGGGAGGCAGCAGGTCCCGGCCACCCATGGCGGGGATCCAGCTTGAGTTCTGGGCTGCAGAACCAGCTGATGAAAGCGAGAGCTCTCTCTCACTCTGCCTTTCAAATAACACAGAAAGAAAGAATAAAACAGCGCCCTTCACCCCACCTGTTTTATGCCTGCTTTATGGCGGGCACTATCATCCCGGATTCACGGAAGGCAAGCAACCCTGGAAAGCTGCGGAGTTGGCACTGTGACCCAGTCGTCCGCTTCCTCAGTGCAGCAGGTCAGGCTGACAGGGAAGGCACACGTGCTGAGGAATGAGGGCAAGAAAACTCCAGCTGGCCGGGCAGGGAAGCTGGACACACAGAGCACAGCCTAGGCAGAGGGCCCAGCATGCACGGCGGCAGGCAAGCCTTCAGGGGAGGGCAGCTGGTGTTGCTTTTCCAAGTACATGAGTCAAAGCCGGGAAGTAGACAATTACCCCACGTGATATTAACCCACTGCAGATCACTAGGCAGGTGGCCTCTCTCACTCAGGTGCCCATGCCAAGTTCCCCTAGTTGGGTGACGACTCCAAACAGCGCAGCCTCACCCCTCATCGCCTCTTCTTTCCTCCCAGCCTAGGACGATGTGCAGAGTCCACTCTCCTGGAGTCCGCCATTTCACAGCAGTTTGCTTCTGATCCGTACACGGCGCATCAGAACAAGCCTTATCCATCTGCGGCCCTGTGGTGCCACGGCTAGCACGGTGGTTCCCCAAACAAGTACTACTGGCCCTGTCACAGTGACTGGAGGCAGTACTGGCACTCAATGAGTAGAAGACAGGGAAGCTGGGTGACCTCCCATGCTGACTGTCCCCCACAGCAAAGCCCTGTCTCTATTGGGTGGCAAATACGGAATAGAGGAGAGCAAGGAAGACCTCTGGAGATAAACTGGTGTTGCTGGCATGAACTCATTGTTTCTGGAACACATACCTGTATAGACACACATGTGGGGTTTTGTTTTTTTAACAGCTCCCATCTGCTGGTTTGCTTTCCAAATGCCAGCAGCTGCCAGGGCCCAGGTAGAGCCCAGAGTGGAGAATGCAACCCGGGTCTCTCATGTGGGTGGCAGAAACCCAGCTACTGGAGCCACCACTGCTGCCTCCCAGGGCCTGCACTCTCGGGAAGCTGGCGTCAGGAGCCAGAGTCAGGCACTGAACACTGCCACTCCAGTGTCGCATGAGGCCGTGTTAACCACGCCCTCACTGTGTGTATGTTTATGTGTATGTGGGTTCGTATGTTTTGCAGCTCTGTCCACTACATGGACCACAAAGCAAAAATACCATAGTAGCAAAAGGGCACTTACTGCCCAGATCTTGGTTTCCAAGGCCATTCCTCACTACGAGGAATTAGAGGTCCTCAAAGAAATGGTTGATTCCAGGGCTAGGGCGGGAAAGGTACAAGATGAGGCTGCAATACTTTGCTATGTGAGAAAATCTCATGTAAGCTATGAGAGAGGAGGAGAGAGTGGAAGCCAGCATTCTGAAGAGGCTTCTACTAGCCAAACTGGGACAACTGGAACACCACAATAATTAAGCATAGTAGTGAATCATTTAAAAAAACCGGGAGTGGGCATTCGGCCTAGCATTTCTGACTCTGCCCGGACACCTGCATCTCTTACTAGAATGCCTGGCTATGAGGCCCTGCTGCATTCACAACTCCAGCTTCCCGCTAACGCGCATCCTGGAAGGAAGCAGGCAGATGGCTAAAGTAGGGGGGTCCCTGCGGCCCCTGCTGGAGAACCACACCGAGTCCCCGTTCCTGATGTCGGCCAGGCCTAGTCCCAGCGTCGTGGGCATTCAGAAAGTGAGCCAGCAGAAGGCAAGTCCCTGTCTCTCTCTCTCTCTCTGCCTTTCAAATGAAAATAAATGAAAGGGGGTGGGCATTGTGGCACAGTGGGTCAAGCCACCACTCCGGATACTTGCATCCTATGTTAGACTGTCTGGGATGGAGGCCTGCCCCTGCTTCTGATCCAGCTGCCTGCTGATGAGCACCCTGGTAGGCAGCAGGTGAGGGCTCAAGTGCTTGAGTCTGTCACCCACATGGGACCCCTGAATGGAGGTCCTGGTCCCCGGCTTCAGCCTGCTCAGTTCTGGCTACCGGCTACATTTGGGGATTGAACCAGTAGATGGAAGATTTATCTCTCACTCAGACTTTGAAATGAACTTTTATCTCTCACTCAGACTTTGAAATAAACTTCTAAAAAGTAAATTAAAACAATTTTAAGGCCATAAATTGATGAGATTTAAATATACTGTAATACAATAAACAAATGAGAAAGGAAGGGCTCTTGCTCTGAATGCAATACTGAGTGTTAACTGGTAAATGTGGACAGACTGTTGGATTTGAAAACTGCAACCACCCCAGTAAAACCTGATTCAGGCTCAAAGCATGAAGGAATACAAATCTAAGGAGAGACCTTTGCATTGCATGAATGTGTCTCCCCACAGACGGGCCATTAGTCAGAAGGGAGAAAACCCTAACTCCACATGGAAAAACCAGACACATCTGACGAGGGGATCACAGCTGACGTTAGCAGTGACGGCAAATGACTAACAGGTGTATCTAATACCATACTCTGACAGGTGTGGGGAGCAACTCGGACTAGACTAAGTTACTGGAATTAAGACATTCTATGCATCTGCTCTCCCACAATATGGCGCTGAGAAGGGAGAACCCGCTTCTACACAGCTGCCTCCAGTTCAACCAATAAACTGTAGGACCTGCTCCTGATTGGAGGAGAGCAGCGTACTTGGCGTGTGGGTAGCAGAGTTGGGATTGGTGGAAGAGGACTATAAAGGAGGAGAGAGACAACATGCACCAGGAACATCTAAGGGGAACATCTATCTGAAGGAACACCTGTGCAGCCCCCGAGAGAGCCGGCCGGCGGTATGCTGCTCCCCCGCGGAAGTGGGGAAAGTGGCTAGGGGGAACCGCCCTTCCACGGAGGTGGAAGGGACGGTAGCCAACCCGGGAAGAACCAGCAGCAAACCCGGGGAGGGCCGAGCAGACAAAAGAACAGCGCAGGGTCCTGTGTCGTTCCTCCACGAAGAGGGGGAGCGACAGACAGGAACACAAAGTATCCGAGAATTATGAGTATTCTGGCCGAAGAAGCATAAGTTGAATGTATTCATAAGAAACAGCACACACACTCAGAAAGAGGAATATTCTATTAAAAAGAGAGAGAGAGAGAGAGAGAGATGGTGTGGGGTGGTGGTGGTTAGGCATTTAGCCCATCAGTTAGGGCACCCACATTCCATGTTATAGAACTTGGGTTCAGTGCCCAGCTCTGGACTCCAACATCTTGCTAATGTAGACCTGGGAGAAAGAAGCAACGTCTCACGTACACCTATGTGGGAGACCTGGGTTGAGTTGCTACCTGGCCCAGTCCTGGCTGTTGTAGGCCTCTGGGCAGTAAACCAGAAAATGAGATCTCTGTCTCTCAAAGTACATAAAGTTAAGAAAAAAGAGACTGGATTCTTGAAAAAAAAAAAAAAAATGATATTGTCCTAAGAAACAACAAATACGAAATTATTTCAGATTAAAGGATACTGTAGTAGTCAGGTACTTAGTTGTGGTAACTATAAACTAAGCCAAGCTACTCAAAGGTGGTGGTTTATTTTGGTTCAAGGTTCGGGAGGTTCAGTCCTAGACTGGGCGAGCCCATTAGTTCAGCCATCTGGTGCAGCAGAGGATGACCTTGGCAGAGCTGTACACTGAAGGATCACTTTTCGGGCCTGGAAGCAGACAGGGAGTGGCTAGGCCTAACTCAGGCTTACCTAATCAACCTCTCACAGGAACTGCCTCCCAAAGACACACCTCCAGTGATTGCAGGACCCTCCACCTACACGCAGGCCTACCTCCTACACACCGTAACTCCTTCAAGTCTCCACCCTCCCATACCATTAACTTATGATCTTGGAGATTAAAGGCCTGCATGGACTGCAGACCCCAATGATGATCAAACTATAGTAGACATTAAAGAGACAATGACAACTAAATGTACTATGATACTGGCTGAATCTTGTATTGGAGAAGGAAAAATGCTTCAAAGGACATTATTGGCTTAACTGACAAAACAGGTTATAAATAACTGAGTTTTGTAAGTACTACGTTAATGTTAAAACCACTAAAGTTAGTAACTTTGCTAAGGTTAAACAAATAAGAGAATTCCATTACCTCAGATAATGTACTCTGATATATTCAGCAGAAAAATCTAGAATGTATGCAGCAAACTCTCAAATGGTATTTAAAAAATGTACATGCAACTGTGTATGCATGTATGTGTGTGTGTATATATATACAGAGAAAC